AACAAATGGCAGTGATTCTGAATTGAAAAATAGGCACATGGCACTCATGTTTGTGAGTGAGAAAAGGATGGCACGTCAAGGACCGTGCAGTCTACAATGGGAAACCTACAGGGTGTACCATCAAAGAAGAAGATGCCAGTAAGCCCAACAGTTTCACTAGAGGGTTTGATGTTATTCCATGTGTGTCGATGCAATCGCTGAAGATAGGGATGTGTGATGGTCCCTTGATGTCCCAATTCGTTCATCCAAACCCCAATGCAAAAAGTCAAACAAGGTGAAGACAGGGTCCTCATGATCATTGAGGGAACCCTTGCAGATTTACTTGTCGAAATTGATCTGACACATATTGCCTCTTTCCTGACATACTAAAAAGGGACTTCCTGTCTCTATGTTGTCTTGGAGAGAGCCATTTATGGATGGTTTTGGCAGCACTTCTTTTGGTACAAGCTATTCAGAGTGACCTCGAGCAAATTGTATTTGTGTTCAACAAATACGATCTTGTGTGGCCAACCGCATAATCGAGGGGTACCAACAAACAATCCGATTTCATGTTGAGACCTAATGTCAAGCACAGAATGAAGTTGGTGAATAACCAAACTTGGAATGGTTCAACGCTAGGTAGGAACCTATGGAGCGTCAAGGCAACCCGTGGTCCCAAGATGACTATTGGGGATGACGGTAGATCTTTTCCGACCCAGGAAAGGTTGTGATTGACATGATAGATTATGTCAAGAAAATGATCTCAGAGTTTCCAGTGGACTTGGGGCAATGAAAAAGGTACCAAGTGCAGCTCCTGCTGACCTATTCAGTTCTGGTGATGGCACCATCCTGAATGACAATAAGAACAGGGAAACCTATCATCCTTTGCAGCCAAGCTGTTGTTCCTGTGCAAGCGTGCTCGACCAGAATGTGCAGACTTCTCACTACTGGTTTATGCACTCGTGTCAGAGCCCAACATCTGATGATTGGACAAGTTGGTCCAAGGCCTCAAGTTTTTGGATCAGATCGGCGCAGGACAAGTTGATCCTACACATTAATGACATACGCATCATCACTTGGTGGGTGAATGCATCATTTGCAGTCCATCCTGATTACCGTTCCCATACAGGAGGAGTAATGTCCTTTGGAAGTGGCGGGGTGCTGTCTGTGTCTGCGAAACAGAAATTGAATTCGAGGAGCACACGGAAGCGGAATTGATTGGAGCTGACGATGTTATGTCGCCCATGTTGTGGGCAAAGTTGTTCCTTGAAGAGCAGGGGATCGTTGTGAAGGCCAACATCCTCATGCAGGACAACAAAAGCACGATCATTCTTGCAGAGAATGGAAAAGGCAGTTCGGGCAAAAGAACTCGGCTATCAACATTCGTTTCTTTTTTATTCATGACCAGATTGGAAAAGGCAACTTAGATTTGTGTACTGCCCAACCTTGAGATGCGTGGAGATTTTTTCACGAAGCCCTTCAGGGCAAGCTCTTCATGAGCACAGGGCTTTCATCATGGTCATCCACCCTTTGTTTGATTGCCTAATTTATTTTATTCGTTCCACGGTAGACCACTTAGGGCACGTGCAGGAGTGTGTTGGAGAAACATACCTGACACTCTTTACTATTGACTCGTGTATTAATCATCTAGTCCGGTTCGCATGTAAATTCATCATGCAAGGAACCAAGGGAGTTTTAGGTCTAAAGTGTTACGGGGGTCCTATATCCAATTCAATCACAAGAATTGCTATGCACCACCAGAAAATCCTCACTTTTGCTTTTCACTTAATCTAAAACAAATACTCCCCAATAAGCTGCAGTATTACTAGCAAATAACACTTCCCCTACAACTCGAGAGGATACGTTCATGCCATCATGAAGAGTCTGGATGAGCAGCACACCCTATCCAAGCTGGCACTACCCTTGATAGTCTCATTGAAGAGCGACAGTGGTGCATTCGTCAGCTGCTTGACAAGTCCCTTAGTCGAAACCTCGAGAAGATCAACGGAAAAGCAGCTGTCCTCAAGCAGAAAGCAGCCGCCTCCAAGACTAGGAGGCACAACCGGTATCACGCATCTCCCAAGCACGATTGTGGGGAGTTGCCTGGCACTAGTGTCAAGCCCACGCAGCGGCGACTGCAGAGGCCCTCTTTGCTTCCAACACCAACAGCAATGTACCCACAGTTCCACCGACTGGGCATCCAACTCCCAGTCAGACTGTGGGGAGTTGCACGTCATACGCCCTTCGGCCGGCGCCACAGCCAACCACCAGCCACCTTCCAGGCCAGCTTGTGGGGAGTCGCCAGCCACTGTCCTTTGCAAGTTACAGCGGCCAAACAACCAGCTGCCCAATGCCACACCCTTGGTTGCTCCGGTGCAACCTTTTGCCCTAGCTGGTGCTCCCAATGCATCACTGGGTGATGGGGAGATTACAGAGCTGCCTACCTCCAGCTCCAGCAGTCACCCAGCTTCTACATTGGCTTATGGGGAGCCAGTACTGTAGCCCACAGCAACAGTGATCTAGCAGGACGATTCCACCATCCCAGGAAATCCCGCATGTAACCAACACAACGGTTGTCCCTTCCAAGCAGGTCCGCACGTCCTTTGGTAGACCCACGACAACCAACCCATGTTGGATGCCCCACGGTTTGCCTATCAAGGCGACACACAAGGCAACCAACGCGGTTCTAGCAGAGCCACCTCTCTTTGGTACTCCCAGTGCCACCAGGCTGGTTCCAAACGAGACGATCCCTTTGCAGGCAAGTGCACACCCAAAGCAGGATGCTTTCAAGCAGACAGCTTCCAGGGCAGGTGCAACAACCACCTTGGCTGGAGATCCAAGTGTCCACCATGTCGAACGACACCAAGGATTCCAGCTTGGTCCATCCTGGACCACCTCTCTTCGGTACTCCCAGTGCCACCAGGCTTGTACCAAATGAGAGGATCCCTTTGGCAGCAATGCCATCCAGTCGACAACCACCACCAATGGTTGACGGCAGCTACGAAGCCCAACCACAGGATGAGCCCAAGGTCCCAGCCACCAAGGTCTCAGTCTCTCTGCCTCCAAGGCAATGGGGAGTTCCCCAGTGTTTGGCATGTGGTTCCATCATGTGTTTGCTTCCATGATGGCCCATAGGATTGGAGCCCTCCAGTCCATGCTGCTAGCACCGTCCCTGGATTTTCGGACGGGCAACTAGACTACGTCCCTGTCTGGTACAGCCCATCCATCCATCCGTCAAGGGACATGATTGCGGGGCAAGAAGGCCGCTCCACTGAGAGCTTGCCGCCGCTGAAATCGGCCTGTGGCAAAGCCACGAATATTTGTCTACATATGAAGAAAACAAACAACAGCTATGATAGCAACCAGCACCGCCGACACCTACCGAGTCTGGCCATGCTGATGAAGCACGCAATCCATTTGCGCCTACCTTTGTCCAGCAACCGACCAACCATGCAAGTCCCTCCACTTGTGAGATCTCCAATCTCACATTGTGTTCCACTAGCAGTCGATGCTGAGTGGCCCATGGATGTTCCATTCATGGGGAGAGTTTGTAAATAGTTAGTTAGTAACTAGTCGTATATCGTGGCATTCCCATGAGAGCGGATCCATTCGCACTCGTGGGGAGCGATAAAGTCTAGGAGCGAGAGCTCTGGATCCCGTCAGAGATAGCTCTAACAGCTATGCTGGCCTACAGCTCCAGCACCCACAGCTGGCTTATCTCCAGCCAAAGCAGCAAGAAAGGATCGTCCTTTCCATCATAGTTAAGAAAATTGTACGAAAGATTGAGACCGATCCTGATTAGCTTGTAGCCCCTTTGACACCGCAGCAGTTGATACCAATCCTGTTGAGGCCGGGCAGAAGCAGTAGGAGGTAGCAGATAGTACTGTTCCCAGACTGCCACTGCACGATTGAATAACGAAGGCTCCCAGCTCCTGAGGTGAGCTGGCCCAAAGGGTCCAGCAGAGAGCTCTGCTGGCCCTCCTGTCTGACTGACAGGGCCAAGTCCTTGGTTTGGTGCCTACTGGAGGTGTTGGAATACTCCTGCTGAGGCACGACAAGGCTCCCTGAACTGCCTGACTACCGCTGTACCTGAGGAAGGGTTTCAGCGAGACCCAGTCCACTACTTCAGTATTGGAACTGAACCTTCAAGAAACTTATTGCAAGGCATTCATCCCATCTGCAGTTCGCGACGAACCCCGTATCCAACTTGGTCGCTCTGCAGCTACGGATGCTTCGCCTTCCAGTGACTCTCCTGTAGTTCTCACCCCATCCGAGGAACGAGGTGATCTCCTTATCCGTGGCCTCTGGCAACGCGGAACTGACGGCATAATTGATGTTCGTGTCATCAATTTTGATGCTACTTCTCACTGTCGCAAGGATCCTGACAAGGTCCTTCACAATGGCGAACGTGACAAGAAACGCAAGTATCTCGACGCCTGTCTTTCCTGACGCCGCCACTTTACTCCGTTTGTTGTCTCTGCTGATGGTCTCCTTGGGACCGAAGCTGAGGCACTCGCGAAACGTATTTCCGCTTTGCTCGCTGCAAAGTGGGAACGCCCTTACTCAGTGGTGCGTGGCTACGTTAATGCTCGGCTCAGCCTAGCTATTCTTCGGGCCCGCCACCTCTGCATGCGTGGCTCTCGTGTCCCAGCTGGCACAATGAGCTACCGTCGTTCTCTCGGGGATGCCGATGGTGCACTTGCACTCTTCCGCTAATTTTGCTCCCTTCTCCTTCCTGGTTTTCCTCCCTGCACCCCCTTCCCTGCCCCCTTTTTTGCCCTGCTCGCGTCCTCATTGCTCTCCCCATACGCCCACCACAACAGCCGCCCACCACAACAGCCACTGCTTTGCCTCTACTAGCTTCGCCCCCCTTGCTCCTTAACGTATCTATTTAGTATTTGTTTTTCTCACTTTCTGCTGCATGGACTGAAAAGCACACCATCAACAACAACACCACCAACAACAAAACAACGACTCCAGCTCTAGCTAGCTAGAGAGTCACAAACAACAGCGCGACTACAATGTCCACAGGAGGAGAAGCAAAGAAAGAGAAAGAGCGCGAACTCACCACACCTCTCAGTTTTGATGCCAGAGCGAAAGAGTTCCAAAATGCGCAATCCCTGCCCATTGTGGGAGCTTGTTGTGGCTTGGAAGCTTTGGTCAATGCCTTGTACAACAAAATTCAGTATTACCATGGGGATCCGCGGTCGAAATCAGCTAGCCAAGTGAGTGAAAATCAAACGGCAGATATACCAAGTCCATCGAAGAAGGCGAAGAGCGCAGGAGAAACAATTCCATGGGAGATGGACTTCGATTCAGGGAAAGCCACCAAGAACACTGAAACACAGCTCACAAAGACGTGGGGTAGCTTGCTCGATGAGAATCTATCGACTAGACAAGCCACAAGAAAGTCGACCCGACTAACGGGAGCACCACAGACTTCATCACAACCGGAAAGTCAAGTCTCAATGGGTAATTCCACGGCGACTTCAGCAGATTCTCAACCATTCTCCCAGGGCTCAGCAATGGGCGAAGAATTTGGAGGGAAGACTGTGCGGGAAGCCCTAGACTACCTGAGAGAAAAACACGATCAAGCAAGTGGTGACTTTGAGATCAAATATACACAATGGGTAGTGAACCGTCTCCTTGCCGCCGCACTGCCTAGCTTTCAAGAGCTGGCAAAGCGACCAGAAAACAGGTTGTGGTTATCTCCTCTAGTGAAGATGCAAGAAAAGATCACTATTGGTTTCTATGTGGAAACAGAGCATTCAAAGAAAGCAAGTGTGCGATGTCCTGGTGTGCGATGTCCTGATAGCGCCTTCTTTCTTCAAGGCACAGGAGATGACAGTTCAGGCTTCAATCACGAGGTGTCAGGCTTGGCTAACCTGATCTGTTTCAAGCACAAAAGTTCTCTCAGCGGAAAACAAAAGAAAAGGGACGCACTGTCAGAACTGACGAGAGATTATGTTCAGAAACTCTGTGCCGTCGACATCCTTGGGCCGCAAATTGGATATGGCGTAGTTACGGATGGAATTGAGTGGTTTTTCGTCAAAATCGAGGCAAAGAGGGAAGGCCGCAGGGAAGTAGCTTCGTTCTTGGTTTATGAGTCGAAAACAGTAAATATCTACGATGGCAATGACTACGATTTCCAAGAGTTGGCCAAGTTTCTCATTTTCACATTTACTGAGAGCATTGAAGAGTCGAAGCTTTCGAAATCGCCTTTCGTCAATATCCAAGATGAGGATTACAAGGAATTGTTGGAGAATATTCAGTTCGACAATACCCGTGGCTTCAAAATCACCAGGATTCTTGCAACGCAACGCTTCTTTGCGGCAAAAGCAACAAGTAGTGAACAGAAAGAAGTTGTCTTGAAGATCATTTACAAACAAGCAGGAATCCGTGCCAAGGAATCCGTGCCAAGCGAATGCTGGTCGAGCTTGACAACCTACGAAGCCTCAAAGACTGTCCAGCTGTTGTCAGGATATGATGATGATGAAACCATCGTTCCACCATTCTTGGTACTTGAAGACGCCGGGGAGCCTCTCGACAAGCTAGTTGTGAGTGGAAATGCAGGCAAAGAGCTTGCCAAAGTGGTAAAGCGAGATATTTGGGGAACAGCATTGGAAGCACTGCGACAACACAAGTTGGTGCATGCAGATTTGCATCCTGGGAACATTTGTGTCAAGGAATACAACGGGGAACTCCAGGCTCTGGTTGTGGACTTGGAGTCGGCAGTGCTGGAAGGAAGCGAGTTAGCTGAAAGTCCAATCAAACATAGGGAAGACCTTCTACTTAGCGGCCAGAAAGCACAGCTTAGAATGGATGAGAGTATGATCATTGCAATTCTTCAGTCCCTGTGGCACAAGGGATCCTTTCATGAGTTGATACAATGCGCAAAAGAGCTGAAAAAAATGTCAGATGAGGTTTTCTCAACAAAAAAAAGACCAGATACTGGGAATTATACAAGATTGTCACACTGGCACCTAATAATCATTTACAGGCTAGTACTCTAAGCTTCAACGCATTGCTTATCGCGTCTTTAGACGTTCCTTTTTTGACACCCCTTTTATCCTGTTTGGAGTGGCTGTTGTTGCAAGGTACAGTGGGCTATGCCATTTTTATACTTACTCGACGAACTTGAATGTAGCCGTCTCACTCAACCCGAACGTCCAGCATTGAAGTGTTTTCAGAAGAGATGATTGTGATGGAAACACGGTGGCAGTGGACTAGTTTTCATTGTTTACCGGTCATGATGCATTCAATAGTTTTCTGTTTCGTAAATCAGATTTGAAACGTATCGTATCATAGTTAGTACCAATGTGCCGTAGTACAAGCAAGATATACCGGTAGCATGAAATTGGCAGCGTGCCTCTGCACTCTCTGTTTGGTATGTTTTGTCAGCGCCTGCTTACCCCCACCGGTTTACGGTTTCCGATAGCCGTTTTCATCTTCGTGATCGTATGGACACAGGAACTTGTTTGCAGCTTGTAGCACCTTTGAGGCAGCACTCCTGGGGGGAAGCCGAGGGAATGTTTGGACCGCACTCTACCGGTAGATGACCTGGGCAGTTCACAAGGATTCTAGCTAGTGCACCAACCCAGAGCATTGGAACCCAAACACTGAAGTCAGCAGCCAGGTTGGGATGGGTGTGTATCTCGCGAAGAGGCAACAAGGTCATCTTCCTTTGGCTGGTTGACTGCTAAGGGCAATGAGTGGAGACTGGCTGGCTCTGGGTTGGCCCCTGCTTGTGACTGATCCCTGGCAACCGTAGCCAGCTCTATCTTGCAATGGCAATCAGTCTAAGACAACAGTGAATGTGAGTCCCCTACACTGTCACGGCCGGGGAGAGGTTTTCCAAACTCTCCTCGCTTTTGGCTTGGGGGTTGGGCCAAGAGCTGAGCCAACCCAAGAGACGACAATAGAGCATCATCTATACACCCCGAGGAAACCGTGGACACCCTAGCTAAACAGAGTACATACATGTATGCAGCGCGGAGAACTATCGTTTAGTCCTGGCGCCGAGTACCAGCAATGCCATTGCCGGTGAAAAGTGTGGCCTCTATTTCATAGACAGCTGCCACCTGGTACATTAGAACAGTAGAAAGAATAGCCAAAACAGATGGTGTGACATGGTAGCTGTTTCAATAGATTGTTCTTTATCAGCTACAACATCCACAGCAGCAGCTGGTACAATTTCTACACAAAACACAAACTGACTCATCCACAACACAAGATCGACCATCGTTGCTGTTGTTGTTGTTGTCGACAGTCCACAACCACTCATCTCTTGTTCGATCGACAAACGAACGGCCGTCGTCGTCGTCAACCACTCCACAGCGCCATCGTCGACAACCACTCAGCAGCCGCAGCAGCGACGTTCGCTCAGCAGCAGCTGCAGCAGTGATGGTGACTCAGCAGCAGCAGCGCCATCATCGACCGACAACCGACAACCGACAACCACTCTCAGCAGCAATATTCCCACAATCGTCTTGAGAGAGACAAGAAGCCAAGAGGACAGAATTGGATGCATGGGTTGCAGCAGCAGCCTAGGCATTAGTATCCGATCTCTTGATTGGCTCTGACAACATCACAATGATGATGTTGTCAGTAATTCAGTACGCTCCTCCTTCCTCTACTGACACTCTTTCCACTACCGACACTTCTTCCTCTACTAACACACCAACCAACACACCAACCAAAACGACAGCTGTGTTTGATGCCGCCTTCAACACCCAACCGAAAAACAAGAAACGCTACATGGCTCGATAGCCAGGCCTTGGACGATCAGCAAACGCATCATTCTCAGCATCGCTGCTGTCATCGTCAATGGTATTATCCTTGTCAGTGGTATTATCCTTGTTGTTGCTTGGATTGTTTGCAACAGTGGAAGCTCTGTTATTGAGGGTAGCCACAGGGGTTGTTGTTGGAGGATTCGGCAGAGGTGGATTGTTGTTAATGTTTTGGTTGATTCTCAAGGCGTCATTTTTACACTTGCCGCACTCATGAGAACAGTTGTCGCCACAGACCACACAAATCTTGGTCCTGTTGTTTGGAAGCCTCTTGACTGTCTCCATGTGAGAGCAAAGGCCATCCAATCGGCCGCACAATCTGCCACTGTTATCCAAAAGATCTTGTGGTGTGAGAGTCGAGGTGGAGGAGCTGTTGGGAGTATTTGGTTTGCGCTTCTTGGCAGAAGAGGAGTGTGCTGACTGAGGAGTTCTGACCCTCTTGTGTTGCCGTGTGGCAACTCGGAAGTGTTGATCTCCGGCATATCTTCGTTTCGTTGGATTGTATTCGCACATCTGCTTCGCCAGCTTTTCTCGAAATCGCCAGAAGTCCACTGGTTTGTTGACCTTCCACGCTTCATTGATTGTTCCTTCAGTGCACTCCAAATACATATCATACGCAACAACAATGCCATGGCAATACCCTTAGCATGGAGCATTGCGGCATGCCAGTGTTTCCAAGATCTATGAAACCGAATGATAGTGAAGGAGTGAGCGATGGAGACGGAGATAATAGATCATAGACCGGCAATTAGTAACTCGAATCATCCAATTACAGGCTCACCTGTAGCACAAATTGCAGTTTTGTACCATGTGGTCCAGTCGATCCACACCACCGTATGTTTTTAGATAAAGCTCTCGAGTCTCATTCATCTCAATAGCCCATTGTCTCTTGTAAGAGCCTCTGCCACGTTCTTTGGTGTGTGCATAGAGACCGCATTGGTTAAGAGCATTGACAGTGGCAATAATATTGCATGAAGACGTAGACTGGAAAGAACAAAAGACAATGTCCCCTCCTTCACCACCAACTGGTTTGGTAATTACGATTGGCTGCTCAAACCTTGCAGCTTTCGACTTGGCATTGACAGTTGTCTTCTCTTTGTGGAAGTACACGTTTGGAACAGGCCCTGGCAATTGGTCCCGACGGCACGTCATTGTCATTCCGAATCCTCTTGTGCTAGCATAAGTGAGGATGTTATCTCCTGAAAAGTGGTTGTCCCAGGTGAGATGCGGCAAATCAACAAAGATTTTCGTGGGGTGAACCTCATAGCCAAGCGTCATTGGATAAAGCTGGTCTAAAATCATTCTTGCTTCAAGTTGTCCACTTGTACAGTGCCAGCCTTCTGGTTTCTTGTGAAGATTGTGGCGATGTACATAAGCTCTTGGACGGATTCGGTCAACATCAACAGCCAAGACAATCTGTCCACCTTTGGTGATGTGTGGCTTGTTCATGATTAAAGAGATAATGCCACTTTCCTTCTCTCCCCATCCACCAAAACCCCTAGTAGTTTCATCGGCGGCTAGGTCAAGACCTGCTTCTTTTGTCAGTGCGTTTACATTCTGAATCAAGACTTTGTAGACGTCTAAGAAGCCTGATATGACCTTTGGTCAAGATAAGGGGCAAACAGTAGTAGGTCAAAATTTGACATAGACATGGTCTCGTCTTACAAAGGATTATGTCCAAGGTAGCAATATGGACCTTTTCCCCCAATTCAGAAGGTGAAGCTTGGATTCCAGCACAGAACAGAAATCTAGAATCAGGACGAAAGCAAGCCACTTAGCAACTTGTCAGGCAGCCAGCTTTCTGCCTACGTTCTTCAATTCAGAAGGTGTTTGTCATGTGCACTGTGTAATTTCGGCAGAAAGCCAACTGCCAGACAAATTGCTAAGTGGCTGACCTTCCTCGTGATCAGGACCATTCTGTTGTAGATCAGGCCGTGCGCAATACAGAATGGTAAGAACCTTAGACTACAGAATTAGAAGAACAATAGAGTTGAAATAATAACATACTAGGAGAGAATTAGGATTTAAAACGTAGTGGGAACGGGTCATGGAAAATAACATATCATGACCAACACATGCTTAAAATACGGGGCCTTGTACAGATTGCATTCCACGTGCAACCACAAACAGCACCACTAATAGGCAAGGTCCCAACCAAAAGGTCAAGATGTACAGTTTCGGAAAGTGGTGGGGGTGCAAAAATAACCAGCTGAGCACCCTGCAACCGAAAACAACAGCAACAAGGGGATGGATCTGTACCGAAAGGTCAAAATCAGGAAGTATCAGGCCCAAAATATTCAGTGGAGCCCCCTGATTAATCATCAAGGGTGCTGGCTCTCTTCCTCTTTTTGTGCTTTTGTGCCTCCTTTGCCTCGCGCTTTCGCTTCTGGGAGTCTAATTTCAGTTGATAGGTTGCCGAAGCTTGGTCATGTTTTTTCGCCATAGCCTCGTCATGGCGTTTCTGAATAGTGAGGCAAAGGTACAGGTATATAGATGAGTGGCAATAATTTCAGGTATGGCGCACAGACTGTTGCACTTACCTGCAGCATTTCAACAAACTTGGTATCAATTTCAACCAACTTGTCAAGATTCGTCTCTCGGTTGATCTTGACCTCTTCCTTGACCTCCTCAAACATGTCAATGCCTTCAGCAACCCACCCACCAAACTCTTTCTGGCCAGAACAATTATCAGAGTATTTTCCCTTGAAGCGAAAAGTACTGGGTTCCTTGCTGCTGTATGTAGGGTAGCTTCCTTGGCCCCCTTCTTCATAGCGCCACTTGCTTGTATAGTTCAGTCCACCTCTTGTGGCAATTGTCATAGACCACGTAGACAAATGCTTCCGTGCCAGCTGGAATCTGATGAACTCCATCAACTTCATGAGTAGTGGGGCATACGGTCCGGCGCTGCTTCTCACCATAAACATGGCTTTGAGGTAAAAAACAAAGGGCAAAGCTGAGAATCATGACTAAATATATCTTTTTCAATCTCAAATAGTCTGCTTTGTACTTACGCGCCAGCCACAATAGGAAGCAACTGGTTGAGATACAGCTCCAAAAGCTCCAGGTTGTAAACCTCCTTGTCTGTTTGCGGATCCCCATCA